CCTTGAAATTTAACATCCAATTAGAGGTTTTCGAAATATTCATGATTTCCAAGCAACTACTTATAGATGCTTCAAACCTTCATCCTTCATCTTATAATTTTGCACATGCAAAACATCTACTATCTTTCCTTGGATGGTATTGCTCGCGAAGAAGGTGCTCTCTCCGTACCAAGAACATCTCCAACACGTCTGTCTATTACTCCGATTTCATACTGAATCGATTTGATTTTGATTTTTGGTGTTTTAACGCCACTTTTAAGCACCGCTTTTGGGCTATTTCGTGGCGGCCAGTTTTTATTGGTGGCGGAAGCCGGAGTGCCCAGAGAAAACCACCGACCTTCGATAGGAAAACTGACAATCCTAGTCAATTAAGATTGCAGTCGAGTGCACCCGCACGAGCGGGGTTCGAACTCACAATCTCAGTATTGACTGGCTAGTCATTACAGTAGTAACTACTTAGACCACTCGGCCACCGAGGCCCCATACTGAATCGAGGTATCTGCAATGTCCTTCACGACTAAATTGTAACTCTGTCAAATCCTTTCTGTTTAACCTAGAATATAGTTGGCCAAGCCTCATTTCTGAGAAACTACCCTAAGATGTTTCCCCGTGAAAACCTTCTGACATTTAAACATTCCGAATCGCTTTAAATTCGGTGATAATTCAAAATTAAACCAGTGTCGTGTTGTAAGCCTATTCATTTATCGTGGATTCCTTTTCAACGCTTCCTTAATCTGTTGCTGAAATGATCTCATCAAATTATATTGAATTTGTTTCCTTTGTGTGCCTAATTTCATTAAGTTTGAATTGGCTAACTTACTGATTTCTGTTCACTAATTGAATCAATTTAAAACTTACCTTTAATTTTTGTTATCTTGATATGCCTTCACTGGGAATCGAACCTCTCCTTGAAATCTATTATGTGTGACTGACATTAACACATCGACGAATCCTCTCGGCTACCAATGGGTTGCAATTTATATGTCTATTTTATATATATATAACTGAACATATGAAACACATTGGTACAACGGACACACAGGGCTTGTACCTTTATGTATACATAATAGACAATCGTATAGTATAAGTTGGTAGCCGCGAAGTTAACATGGTTAAGATCAATGAGTTAAAGAGTCAAGTTAAAGGTAAAGACTTGTCGGTATAAGTTCGAATCCCTGACTTCTCTTCTGTTGTCCCTATTCTTTAGTTTTTCCGTCTGTCTTATTTGGTTTGTTATTGTGGTTATTTTTGTAATATTAGCGGGGTTTTCCGTTTATTTTAGGATTATTAGTTGCTATTTCACATATTTGAAAAGAAATTTGTTAATTTTTGTGTGTTATAAATATAGTATGCCTTCATCTGTTTTACTTCATATCTTTCATGTTTATTCGCAAATCCCTATGCGAGTAAATCTTGATGTGCCTAGAATAGGCTTCTTGATAAAATTTTCGGTAGCAAACTTATTATATATACTTAGAAATAAGTTCGAGTACGTCTTATGTTGTAAATTACGGATGATATTTCGATGCCTGATAATTAAAGAGAGACGTGTTATGTTATATTTGTATTTCTCTAACCAATTAATTGTGAACTTAGATTTATCAATGCATCGTTGAACATGATAACATGGTTATTCAAACTCACTTACAATACCTTCTAATTAAGAAAATGCTTTAATTTTGAAAAAAAAACATCAACACAATAGTTTAAGTTAGAGATACAATGGATAAGCATTGATTCATGAAAAACAAACCATTCGCCCTCCGGGCTCATGGTTTCTTTTTCAAGAATCAACACTTATTCATTGTATCTATAATATGTATTCTTGGGCAACCTACTGCACCATTCAAACCTTCATCCTTAGCGATTTTACAAAGATCCTATATGTTCTTTTTCACACGGATCTTACCCCCGATCGCAATATTGTCGTCATCCTGTTTGACCGGTTGTTTCTTATATCTCCAGCACAGTCTGCCTTTTTTCTGAAGTGAAGATACACAGATGACTTCTAAATCATCTAACTCGTGTTCAATTGGAAGATGCACATCTGTAGAACCAGTGTTTTCCCATATACGCCTAGATTTATTCAAGAGATCTAGTACCATTAAAAGATGATCACTTATTTCTTCTTCACCTTCTCATCTGCTTTGTCCAGATCCTTCGATTGTCCAAGAAAAATTTCATGTAATGATTTAATGTTTTTTATACTCTTTGAGACGCTGTACGTTTGCGTCACTTATTTTCAATCTTCCCTAATGATTTCATTATTTCAATTTGATCCCATCTCTTTAAGGTGACCGGAATGTCGTTGTCTAGCTACTTTTTCGACTCTTGACCTCTGTATAAATGATGCAATTGTATGTTTTTAGAAATTAGGTGAACAAACTTTTTTGCTGTCAGCATCATTTGTCCCTCAACACCCCCCCCCCCCCCCCCCCCCCGTACCCCCCATTTGTGTATATACGTTGGGCATTCGTTCTTATGAAACAAAGTTCTTGTCTCCCATATTTGATTGTCGCCAATTGTTTTACTGTTAATCAGACCGATGGTTTTCTGTTGTGAATATTTGTTTTCATTTTGTCACAACAGGGCTTTTTACCGCATACTTTACGGCACATGCATGCGTTTTTCTCAGTGTTGAAGACCGTACTGTGACATGCAATTGTTCACATGTTTTTTCTTTGGATTGGTCTTTATTGATAGTTGTCTCTAGGCAATGATATCACATCACCTTATTTTCATGTTAGCCTAATATATTTTATAAGATAAAATAAGACAATTTGTTTTATTATGACGATTGAGAAAATAACAAAATAAATTATTACAAATCAGAATCAATGAACAAGCTATTTACATGATCAACCTAAGATATTAAAATTTGCAAGATGTTACTAAAACTTTCATTTTTTCAAATTTTTTGTTGTACTTTACAATTCTCTTCCTGGATTGAAAATAGAATTTATAATAAGTAACATCTTCTGCATACGCAAATAGCGTTTGTTTTTAGACAGTATACCATCTTTGCTAACGTCCTAACTCCGGATTCTTCCTTCACGTATAGGAGATTGAATAATCAAATTTCTTTTGTTTACAGAACCATTTTAAAGGTAAGTTATAATTACTTCAATATAATGCTCACGTTCTTACGTATTCCGCTCCAATCACCATTCCACAATACCTCAATACCTGCATTACTAACATAGGCGTTCCATGACAGAGAGTTGCAAGGTAGTGGTTTATAGTGAAGTTATGTTATCTTCATAAACCACATAAGAAATGACTACGTGTGCTCCACATGACAAAATTACGGCACTGAATAGGATAAAAATAAAGGAAACTTTCGAAAGCTTGATTTTACAGGACATTTTCTGGTTGTAAAGCTATATTTTACAGGACATTTTCTGGTTGTAGCATTTAAATGTAATTGCGTCAATTATATGCTTTATTTTATAATTTTTACTGGTTCGTAAAAGTGTTCAGCGTACAACTTAATAGTATGAAGGGTAATTGTACTTAAAACAAATGTGATGCACTCAAAGCTTTTACACACAAATAAAACATAGAATAAATCAGCATTTAATGCTGGAGTTATCGCATTTGATCTATCTTGTTATCATAAAGTACTCTGTACGTGTGCTCAATTCATTATTTGCTAACTAATTAATTAGTTAAATTTAGTAATAAAGGGCATTTGAAGGTGTTTGTATTGGTTTGCTAACATGGCTCTCTCAACCACAGGTCAATTTAAGTCCAAAATGTTTGTCTATTTGATGTTCATTCACCAATCGACTCAATCACAATAACATTCTAGTATACGAAATCAATTCTTCCGCGCTACGCTTGGGTCCAATTAGTTGTTTGAAAATACATTTTCTTATCTCCCTTTGTATTTTTGAATTATTTATTATTAATGATAATTAAGAGCAATTCTCTGTAATCCCCAAAATATTTCGGCACGCACTAAAAAATATTTGTTTTAAACTTTATTAGTTCAATAGAGCCACATGAGCTTAACAAAAAATATTATTACACTTAGCCCCATATGTTTACCGTTTCCTTGGTAACAGGACTTAAAGTGGCAAGAAAGAGGGAAAATGCATTGTTTACAAATTATGATCAATTATGTCTAATAAAAAGAAAATAACATAGATATTCAGACATTTAAAACTTTTTTCAATTTAAAAAAAAACAAATAAAAATTGTATTCAACAGTAAACTTTCTTAAAAAATAATCTATATAGCTAAAATAGGGTAAAAAGTGCAATAAAAGGGGGGTTTTAGAGCCTATTTTGATCAGGTGTTGTAAAAAAATGCAGCCATTTCTTATATTGTTGATTATATGAATAGAGAGAATGGATTAAGGTTATACAAGAAAAGAAAAAAAATCAGTGGGCAAACTTGACTGTATTGAAATTAATTGACCCTGAAAAGTTGAGTTGTCCTGTATTTTCCTAATCAAATTACCTCCCTTTACGGAGTTCTCTTGTAGAGAAACAGATTAAAAACAGGAGGGAAAATGTAAACAAATGCAGACAACAATGTTATTTTGCGAATTTCTTCATGTTTTATATTCAAGCATAATGGGAAATGGATAAATTTTTCACAGTGATGTTAGCCTACACTTATATATATGGTTAAGTTGGTGTGATTTGCTCATATTTTGAAAATATTGTCAGAACAATGGAACTGTGTCTGTACTAAGACAGTGTATTTTATAGTTTATTTTGCTTACCGTAACTAACTTTTTTAATGTATTTATTTATATAATCTTCGAATAATTGTTATAAAATGTGTAGCATAAAAGATTTCTTAGGCAATTGTGACAACTGCAGTGACGACAGGTATTTTTGAAAATGCTTCCATTGGAAAAAGAGACATGTATAAATTTTTGTCAGAAATTTTTTTACTTAAATCTGACGTCACAACTGAGGATCTGTGGTATTCATAGATATATTATCATCGAAACAACTAACAAGAAATATAGAAGGAAAGACTGTGGTGTGCCTTCAGTAAATGTCATTTTGAAATATCATAATACTACAAAAGCAGTGGATCGACATGTTACACCCGAGATGTTTCAAAGAATTGTTACAAAGACAGGCATTTTCATTCCTATTGGAACATGTAAGTAGATACTATTTACCTAATACCATTTTTCTTTAAAAAAGATACAGTGATAAACCTCTTATAAAAAAGAAATCAAATGCAGCTGTCAGGTACCCCCCCCCCCCCCCCCCAAAAAAAAAAAAAAACCAAACAAACAAAAAAAACCTTAGGGTTAATATTGTCTACCATTTGGCTATGAACCTTAAGCTTATAGTTTTAAGCATGTGACAGCCATATGAACTTCTTTAATACCCCCTTTTTAAACTGTGAAACATAAAATTATGTGAAGTTCTTTGAATCTTGTTTTTGAGAGACAAAAATTATAACATGAATGCTGTTTCACGTTTCCTTTCCTTTACCAGATTTGTAAGGTTTTGTACATGATAATCACATCATTTCATACCGGTCCTTATGAAATAAAAAATGTTGCAGCAACAATGCTGCAATGTTGCGGCTGCTGATCAGGTTGCCAGAAAATTGATGCCGAATAAGTGCTGAATGATGACAAAAAGCGCCACAATGTTGCCATAAAGCACACATATAATTTTCTCATTCTTAATCTACTTAAATGATGCCAGAATAGAGCTAGAACATTGATAATGTCATTGATGATGTCACCAGTGTTTGAGCTTTTTACTGTGGTCATGGTGGTGTGTTAGAAGTGGACCATATATTGCTTGAGCTTATGATTTTAGTGAAGAATTGGGTGTTCTGTTATTGTGAAGACTTGTATGTAAACTTAGATTAACATGATTAATTAAATGCATTATATAAAAGTTCAATCTCTCATTTAATTAAATCAAGGAAATTGTCTTCTTCCTGATAGACCTGGAGAGCATTTTCAAAAAATCCAAATTAACAGGGACGAACTATCATCTAATGGGGCGAATTGGTACCTTCTGAAACATAAGTCATGGTTTCTCTTCCCTTTCTCAATTTAATCCTCGCTAAAATTTTATGCTGAAAGAAGTTTGGTCAATTATGTCTTTGTAACCCTCTAAAGACGGCTTGAAAGTGCTATTTGTTTGGAAAAAAATGTAGTATAATCACGAATTTAGATTGCTAAGCAGACAAAACACAACACCTTTGACTGAAGTGAAGGGGCTCCTGTTGGGATCATGGAAATTATGTTGGTGTTATTGAAGGTATAGATGTTGCATGTTGACAGTTCATGAGTTACACATTTTAACTTTCCTTTTCCTCAATGTGGGAAAATTAAGTACATTACATATAGGAATAACTTCTGAGGACAGAACTTTACTTTCTTTAAAAGATAAAGTTATAATAATAACCCTGAGCACACAAAAAAATCATAACGTTAAATAAAGGAGTTAAAACTTTTTCTCGGGTATACTTAGCACTAAACTTACCTGGTCAGACGTTACTTTACCTTTTAAGTCAATAATTAAAGGAAGCCAGAATTTAAAGGCATTAGTGGCGCAATAGTGCCAGAAAACTAATTTGCATACAAAATAAAAAACAATATCTGCATTGAAGCCACAACATGTTGCGGCAACGAAGCCACAGTATTTTCTGGCACCAGTGCCAGAAAACTAATTTGCATATGAAATACACTAATGCAGCATCATTGCCACAACATGTTGGTGCAATGAAGCCGCAACATAGCCCTAATGTTGTCACAACTACATGTATGCGCCAGAAGGCTTATATTCCGATAAGGGCGTGGACAGCCTTCTTTTACTCATGTTTACTTGAGATACATGTATGTTTTAAAATTCATGTTTTTATGTACATACATGTACATGTATATGACCCAACAAAAAAGTATGTGGGTTTACTGTACACCTACCTACCCTAATTTCAGTATATGACCCAACAAAAAAGTATGTGGGTTTACTGTACCCCTACTTACCCTAATTTTTGTCCCCTACCCTAAAGTTTTTTTGACTATTTTTGATTAAGTACTGTTAAAGTCACAATGTTGCTCCCATAGACTCAATGTAAAAAAAAAAAAAAATCTCTACCTACCTACCCTTTTTTTTTCAGCAAGTGACAGTAAAGACACATATTTTTTTGTTTGGCCTAAATAGTTTTGATAGTGATACACAGAATGAGATCAATTGTGTATCTATTTTCTTTTATATTACAGCAATTTGTAGACTGTGTAGAGAAAAACTATTTGGAAATAACAGTATTGAGCATGTTGAGGAGGTATGTCTTTTCATATACATGTATAAATATGATTCCCTGTACACATGTATACTCAATAGTCAATAGTGAGTTTATTGTTATGTCATGTATGTATGGGATCCATATTGTAACTACATGTCAAACTGCATATGTACTCAGTTTTACTATGACAAGAATAAGAAGATCTTTCAATTCAGAAATAACATTAAACTTTAAAGTTCCAATTTGGTCTTCATATTCACTAAGCTTTTGCACATTTTATTTGGTAAACTAGTTTCATCATTAAGCATTAGTAAAAAATCTATTAAAATAAAAACCAAGATTTTAATTGATCTAATTTACATGTACACTTAGGGCCAATAGGGGTTAAACTATGCATTCATGCATGCATAATTGAGGGTAAATTAAGGGTAAATTTCTAAATCATTTGTGTATAAAACATACCTCAACTGAACCCTAACCCATTCATATATTACTAAACCCTCTAAGATAGGTTGGTTTTTGCTTCAATATTATCATGTGTATTCCAGAATTCATTATTGTTCCAATTTCAATTAGTACCTTGTTTAAAATATTCTTAAAAAGTTTTTCTTTTCTTTTAATTTAGGAGAACACTATTGAGACAAATACAAAGAACAAGATTGCAGAAGCTGAAATACTACCACCTTAAAGAAAGAGGGTAGGTATAACTGTATATAAAATAGTATCATTGCATACACTTTATAAGAAGTCTCATAAACTTGACTTTATAAGATATCTTGTAAAAGTATTTAAGATATCTTGAATAATATCAGATTATTACATGGCATTTGTCATATCGCATGTATTATCAGTCCTAGGTTTAATATCAGCCCTAGGTTTAATATCAGCCCAAGAGCCGCATGGCTTGAGGGCTGATATTGGCCGAGGGCTGATAATACATGTGATATGAAAAATGACATGCTATGATCTTTTTATCATATGCTTCAACAATGGAGAAAAATAACAGATTAATATATTGATTTTTTTACGTGGTTCTTAAATAGCAGTTCAAAGAGTGAAATATTATAAGTTACATAGTGTGCTAGTGACCTAATACGGTATATATGGGGTCAGTAAATTCTATATGGGGTGAGAGCAAAGCTCGAATCCCCATATGGAATTTACTGACCCCATATATACCGTATTACGTCACTAGCACACTATGTAACGAATTTATCTTACCGTCTATCTTAACGTGTGAAATTTAGACTAGAGACCTATCAAAATGAGCACTGAAGTCTTCAATACTTTTAGCATTAAGAAACTTCTCTCATTGATCCTACAGACACAGCTGCCAACAATAACAACTTGTTAGCTTTAAATGTGTTTTATGAATTCATTTCAATCTTAATAATCAATTTCTTCGTCTGTTGAAATCTTTAAGATGTTTTCTCAATACCGTTTTGTTTTTATAAAGGGACGCAACACCACTACTAACTGTGTATGAAATAAGCCCCGCCTTCTTTCTAACCTTATATGGAATATAAAGGGGACGTAACTCCACTACTAACTGTGTATGAAATAAGCCCCGCCTACCTTCTAACCTTATATGGAATATAAAGGGACGTAACTCCACTACTAACCGTGTATGAAATAAGCCCCGCCTCCCTACTAACCTAATATGAAATATACACAGTCTCCCCGCGGACGCTTTAAACCAATCATATTCCTAGAAATGTATAGGAGGTAAGATAATCATGGATGTAAGACCCCAAATGTTGTACAATCGATATGAAATCTTTCTATCATATGCCTCAACAATGAAGAAAAAAAACCAGTATGTTATATTTTAATACGGATGATAAAAAAATAATTCAACAATATACATAATAAACACTGTTTGGAAAAGTCAACATTTTTAAAGTAACTTTCTTAATTATGTTAAAAATGCATTTATTTTATCATTTGTTTATTGTTTTTTTTTTTCCCCATTTTACACAATATACTTTCCAGTATACAAATAATTATTTTGTACCCTACTTTGTAATGTTTTTCACTGAAAACGTACCATTGAGGTGTATTTTCCAGAATTTGCCGAGTATTACCGGAATGCCATGCGATAACGTTACGGAAAGGCATGTGATAAAAGTCGAAGCATGTGATAAACTTTTCATATCAGACCGCTAAGCACCAATTCGAAAAAATATGGAATATACGTAAATGTAATGCTATTATCATATGGTAAAAATCATATGTTATTTAGTCTAAGTATATGATAATATATTTTATATCTTTCATGAGATATCTTATAAAGAAGTTTATAAAGATATCTCATAAACTTTAGAAGATATAAGATTTTCAAGATATCCAATTAGGAGCTTACTGTATTGAATTTGCAGATTTGGAGCCATCAATCATGGATTTGATGGTCGCAAATTGAGTTTACTAGCGACACGTTAGCGGAGCCAGTAAACGGATATTTGCGACAATCAAATCATAGATTGATGGCTCCAAATCTTCAGATTGATATATACCCTGAAAATTACGACTTTATCCAATGAAATTTGACGTACGTACGTTACAACGAATGTTGCATTAGAATGAATGTTATAGGACATCTGATATAATTAATAAGATATCTTATAAAACAATTTTAAAAGATCTCTTATTGTCCACTGGAGGGGACATAGAAATACCGGTGTCCGTGCGTCCGTCCGTCCAAAATCAGTTTCTGGACCGTAACTTTTGAACACCTTCATATAATTTTTTCAAACTTACACAGTTGAATGTTTATTAGGTAAGGAAGATCCGTATTGATTTTGATGTTTATAGGTCAAAGGTCGAGGTCACAGATATTTAATGATGTTGAATTTTCAGCTGACAATCGGTTTCTGGACTGTTACTTTTGAACACCTTCATATTATTTCTTCAAACTTACACAGTTGAATGTTATTAGGTAAGGAAGATCCCTATTGATTTTGATGTTTCTAGTCATTCAAAGGTCAAGGTCACAAGTTCTTTATGGAAATATTATATTTTAGCACCAGTGGGGGACCCCGGAGCCTCCTCTTGTTTAGTTTATAAGATATCTTATTTATTTTATAAGATATCTCATAAATTAGATATAAGATATTTCATTAACTTTATTTGATATCTTATCTTTTAATTCAGACATAGGAGCCCTATAGTAATCAGCTTTCCGTCTGTCCGTCACAAACAGTTTTCACAAAATAAATCATTTTTTTATTTTAAGCAACTATATGTCCAAATAAAAAACAGAAACAATATCTTTATTGACTATTGCATTAGAATGTATATAACTGTATTGTATTTTAAGGTTTGTGGACGTAAATCTAGATTTTACTGTTGCAATTATCCGTTTACCTAGCTCTGCTACAGGTCACTAGGTAAACTCAATTTGCGACAGTAATATCTACGTTTTATGTCTGAAAAGGTTAAAATACAATACAGTTATCTCCTAAATTACCTACACATGATTGCACCAATATGAGTTTAATATAATGAAATTTGCTTGTACTTAGAAGGTGTTTTACTTTATTTTAAATATTTAAGTCGGACCAGCATTTTACCCACATTGCTTTATAAATAGCAAACTTTGTTGATCTGTATCAGTTAAAAACTAATATGCACAATCAGTTCTTTCTTCCCTCTGTATTCAATTACAAAATTAAATCTTTAAAAATGTAAAGATACATACTGAATTTTAGAAAGAAAAAAAAAAATGTAAAATTTTCGAAATTCGGTTACCATAGCAACCATTTTTATTAAATTTCATTAAACAAAACTATTTTTCTGGACTGTAAAATTTAACTGATCAATTTTGTTAAATTGTAAGAAATTTAATGCCATCTTTGTATTGTTTAAATATGGAAATTACTTGGATCATTATTGACTTGTAGAAAAATACAATTTACAGAATTTGAAAATCTTGTGTTTTTCATTCATAAAAAAAAATATTTTTTGCAATTATTTGCCCATTGATTTTATTTTATATTCTGGAAGACCTATATTGGTTCTTTCTAAATATACCTAACATTTTACTAGGAGATGCTGCCTTCAAGAAAAAAATTCCATTGAATACCCTGTATTTACGCATTTTTCACTGAAATCCAAATTTGCCATTTTAGCATATCTTTACTAGCTGGTAGCAAAATAACTGATTATGGTAAAAGTAAAACATATGTGAATTTCAAACAGCTTAAAGGTCAGTTATATTATATTATTCAGAAAAAAAGGATATGTTACACATAAATCAAGTACTAAACAGTGCAAAATGTCGTTTTTTCACTTTTTCAAGAGTTAAAATATGACCTTTTATTGCTAAAATCAACCTATGTGGTTTCCATGGCAACCGGAATATTCCGGAACAATTTGTTGCCTGTTATTGCCTTTAGGTATGGTACTGGCTTTTATATAAAAGTTTCATCAAAATCTGAGACCATGTGTGCCAGACCCTATTAGAATTTCTTTGGTGGTAACAGAGAATTGCTCTTAATTGTTCCGGGTTGTTTCCTGTATATTTTGTTATCAAATTTCTTATTTCAGTGTCATTTTAACTAGCAGAAACTTTTCCGATTTATTGACCAATTTGTAAAAATATAGATTTTTTTTCTTTTTCACAAACACAGGACTATCTTTTAACCAAATGCCCTCGGTTATTTTTATAGAGATTAGCCGCTTAAATTGTTGTCAGTTGAAAAGTTTAACATAAAAATACTTCGTATTACTATCAAAACAATAAATGAACATTTATGTAAATTTTATCTGTAAAAGCATCGGCAGTTTTTTTCATTTTGTAACTGAATACTGGTATTTTCTCTTTAATCACAAATATTGTTTCATTTTTGCTATGCATGTAGCTATTTTCCTATATTGTGTAAGACCCATCTTCACAACACATTTAAAACTAGCTGAGAAAAACTACGTGACCGATATCAATCGACTTGAAGAAAATTATTATTTACTTATTTGTCAAACACGGGGATTTTTTAATAAAATTGAGAATGGAAATGGGGAATGTGTCAAAGAGACAACAACCCGACCATAGAGCAGACAACAGCCGACGGCCACCAATGGGTCTTCAACGAGAAACTCCCGCGACCAGAGGCGTCCTTCAGCTGGCCCCTAAACAAATATGTATACTAGTTCAGTGATAATGGACGTCATACTAAACTCCAAATTATACACAGGAAACTAAAATTAAAAATGATACAAGACTAACAAAGGCCAGAGGCTCCTGACTTGGGACAGGCGCAAAAATGCGGCGGGGTTAAACATGTTTTTTGATATCTCAACCCTCCCCCTATACCTCTAGCCAATGTAGAAAAAACAAACGCACAACAGTACGTACAGTAAAACTCAGTATAAGAGAAGTCCAAGTCCGATGTCGGAATAGGAAACAAAAGAAAATAAACAAAATGACAATAATACATAAATAACAACAGACTACTAGCAGTGACTGACATGCCAGCTCCAGACCTCAATTAAACAGATTAATAGATTATGTCTGCATCATATGAATATCAGGCACAATCCCTCCTGTTAAGGGTTTAGTATTATACCGTCATAAAATATATGAGAAGAAGATAACCCGTGTCATGCCAACAACTGGTTTTAGAATAAATGTGTTTAATTCCGATGCAAAGACCCTATAGGTTGCAATTCTGTAAATATAGACAATGCAATTTCCCATAGGAAC